TATGGGAGGGAAAATTTTTGGGTTCAACAATAATAAATACAAAACATGGATGATCATAAAATACAAGTCAAGGTGCTTGGTGATTCCTCCTAGAACAAAAGCAAAAGATAGGGAGAAGAACCGAACCCTAATGTGATCTTGTAGTGAATGAATTGATATGATATGATGAATGGGTCTTTGGGGGAAAATTGGGGTACAATAGCTGCCCTTATTTAAGTATATTCTATCCAGAGGTACGAATATTAAAATCTTCATGTCGACGCGATTAAATATTCTTAAATATAAAACAAGCCCTATTTTTGGCCCTAAAATACCATGCAATGCTTATGATTATGAATGCAGATGAATAAATCTAAAGGGACGCAAGACATCACTAGGGATGTAAAAAAGTAAAATAGGAAACAAAAGGATAACTTGACCAGGAAAATAAATCACTGGTGAAGAAAGACAAGATTATGTTGGGGTAATGCCCAAGAGAGGATCTAAAGCGTCGTCAACTCAAAAATTGAGGAGAGAGAGTGAAGGATAACGGTGACCGAAAGATAACTGTGAACTACCAACTCACAAAGGGGATAGCAAAAAAGTAACATCGACCCCACGGGGAAAGGAATGGTAAGATAATACCATTAAATTTTAAGATATTTGAGGGACAAGCGTAGGGTCGTCGTTATGGTCATTGAAGGCAACATGTAGGGATACCTTTAGCAATTTTAAGGGACGTCATCATATATTCGTAGGCAACATCGAAGGACAAGATCATATACCGTAGGCAACTTCGAGGGACTATGATCTTTTATGATGATTTATACCAAGGGTCTTTGCTAATGGCATCCCTATGTTCGAGGGACATGACCATTATTTTCCGAGGCAACGAGAGAAGTTACCCTAGAGGTGCAAGTTTGAGAAGTGTGTTCAATTCAGTTATATTTATCTTGAAATTAGGGTTTTCTACTATTTCTTTTTAGATCTTTCCATACAGGCCTAATTACTAGCAGTTAAATATATACAAGTTTACAAGAAATATAAAGGCGAGAAATAAAGTTCTTACGCTATTACAGGGCTTTGGTGTAGTTACATAAATAATGAAATTGCGAGAATTTAAACTACGACTATTACAATTATTATGCGACCTATACAATTTGTCTAATAAATATAAATAGCAAATGAATAGAAATAAAAATAATAAAAATGTTAAGAAAATAATTAAAACCTAAGATTCTATGTGTTAGAAAATATATTTTTGGTATTTTTTGTTTGGAAAATAATAAAAGTGTGAATTAATAATTAAAAACCTAACTCTGATTAATTTACAAGTTAATTATGAAATAAAATCAATATTGATTAAATCAAAACAACTTTTATGTCAAAAATTATTTTAATTAATTAAAAGACTAAAACTAATATTTAATGATTTTTTTGTGATTTTATATGTTAATTAAATTAATGATAGAAAACAAATTAAGTGAAAAATAAATAAATGAAAAGGGTTAGAAAAGAAAATAGTCAAAAAAGTAAAAAATGCATGGGTGGGTGTTGAACCCATGCCCCTTGGGTCACAGTCAGGCGCCTCATCCACCAAGCCAAGTTATTGGTTGTGATTCAAACCTATTCTACGTAACAATGGGAACTCATTTGGGCAGTTAATAAACATTAACAATGCATGAAATTAATTATATAAATGTTTGAAAGAAAAGCAAATCGGAGAAAATGAGTATGATTGTTTCAAGCATCAATGGCCATGACTTTCGACCTATTCTTACCCTTAGATACCTCAGGAATGATTTGTAATTGATGGCTTGGACTAAAAGTGGCTGGATCTTTGGTTTTGACTTTGCCCTAGTTTTGACAAAATTTGAGGTTTTTAGAGAGTATTCTTGGGCAGCCAATTTCGTGCTCTCTAGTGTATGAGGGTGTTGTGTTTATATAGAGGAGGAATCTAGGTCAAAAATAATGGAAGAAATCTTATGGCATCAATTGCATGATTTGTTTCCAAATTCATTTGAAAAACTTTCCAAACTTGTGAAAATATTATCTTAATGATATTTGCTTGGTTGTCACGATTTTGACAGCTTGCTATGAGCTACTTGGATCCCAAGAAATTCAAATCTTAAGCCTTACATGCCTTGTGCATTAATCTTGCATTTTATTTGATTTAATTTAAGTTTAAATGAATAAAATCAAAAATAAATGAAATAAAAATTAAAATAATGCATGGACCGGTTTAGGGGTTCTTAATCATGTTTTAAACACGTTCAAACCTTAAAACCTAGGCACATTAGTCAACAAGTTCAATATTTCTCAATTTGCACTTCATGCACTTTCTCAAAAATTGCCCAACTTTAGAAATTCATATCTCTCTCAATTTTAACCCTATAAGGGTGTTCTTTGACTTTTTAGAGGGATTAGGGTGTCCTATAAACAACCCTTTTGGTTTCATCTCAATTGGAATTTCCATGTTCATGTAAGAAGCTTTGACCCAAAAGGTGTTTTTGTTGACTTTTTGAAAGGACCCATAATGTCTGAGTTTGTATATTTCAATTGATGAATTTATTGAACTTGAGGGCTGAAGAGAAGTTATAAGGAATTGGATTATCGTAAAAATGAGCCTTGGTGGAAAAATTTCTAATAAAGTATGAGAAAGTTATGGCTGGTTAAAGTTCAGTTGACTTTTCGTATAGAAACCCTAATTATCAATTCTTGACTTTTGATGGATTAGGAGCATTTCTTGAGGAATCATGATCAAACCTTGATCAAATGATGGATATTACTTCAAAGTGTGTATTTTGACCAAAAACCTTGAAGTTTGACTGCAAGTGGGCCACAATTGACTTTTGACCAAGTATAGTTGATTTTCAGGCATTTGAGCAGTTGACTGAGCAAACTTGTAGTGCAAGGTATGAAATTTTTCATGGATAATCTTAAAGACATATTAGGACCATGGAAGAAATTTTAGACCTTTGGAGATCACACATCTTGGTGAAAAATGAAACCCTAGTTGGAAGGCCAATGCTTAGGAGGAGAATTTGTCTGATCAATTCTTGGTCAACCTTGAGCAATTGAGGACCTCTAGGAGTGTGTATTGAGTAAAAATGGGAGGGAAAATTTTGGGGTACAACAGTTTCCCCTGTTCAATCTTCTTAAACTTGAGGATTTAGATTGGCTTGTCTACCACTAGTGTAGAAATGACTTTTTACATCGGGTGAAATTGACTTTTTACATCGGTTTTGGGTCTGATGTAAAGTCAGGCGATATAGTAAATCAGGGACTTTTTACATCGGTTCTGGGACCGATGTAAAAAGTCCCTTTTTTACATCGGTTATAATATCAGAACCGATGTAATAACCTGTTAGTATGCACATTTTTTAAAAAATTGATCCAGTTTTTTACATTGGTTGGAAGTAATACCCGATGTAAAAAGTCCCTTTTTTACATCGGTTTTAATATATGAACCGATGTAAGAAACAGTTATTATGCACATTTTTTTAAAAAAATGATCCAGTTTTTTACATCAGTTGGAAGTAATACCCGATGTAAAAAGTCCCCAGTGACGCGACTTTTTACATCGGTTATTATCCCCAACCGATGTAAAAAGTCCCTTTTTGAAAGTTTTTACATCAGTTTTTACTAATAACCGATGTAAAATGTATGAAATTTTTTTGGAATAGATTATTTATTTTCTGGGTTTCCCTATACAAATATAATTTGTACCCATTTTTTCAAATTTTTCCAATATCAAACAGACTATATTTATGTCGCTATATAGATTTCATAGCTTTCCAACATCACATATATCACATTTAGGTCGATGTTTTCATATTTTTCACAACAAACTTACAAATTGAACAATTGTATTGCAAACTTGTATTGTATTACAACAAACAAACTTACAATTACAAATTCTTCACAAAATATAAAACAATATTCAACTATTTATAAGTCTTTTTCAAAACTTACAATTACATAATATTCACAAAATATACATATACAAAAATATTCAACTATTTCTAAGTTTCTAAACTTGAATTACCAATATAAAATCTTCGGTAGACAACACCAAAATCATATTGCCTGACAATAAATAATAACAATTAACATCAGCAAAAAAAATCAAGAAACTCAACACATGAGCAAAAACCACATGTATTGTGCAAAAACCACAACTTATACAATTCTATAAAACTCACCAAGATAAACTTAAGTTCCATGTAACTCAAAGAAACATTTTGCCCAACAAAATCGCAAATCATACAAATCATCTGGTGTTAATTCTGTTGGGTCATCAAATACCTATAATACATAAATATAACAATATAGAGTTCTTTTTTAAAAATTCATATTAAGTCGAAAAACAAAAAGTAAATAACAAAGTAAAGTTATTTTTAGTACCTACATCCAATTCTCGGTTATATTAGCAGAGACAATATCCAACATATTTTTCATCACATAGTATCCACAATCATTAGAGTTATGTTGTTGCCTTGTCTACAATTGAATGACATAATTAGTGAATATTTATCATAAATTTAACTATAGAATTATAATTTACATCACACTTACATTGGGATGAAGCCATGTAGAACTAATACAGAAAGATATAAACATCACATAACTAAATATACTCGCCAATGAAAAATCACATAACTATTAGTTGTCAATGAAAGTCACATGAAAGATATAAACTTACTTTGTAATAATTTTCTTCGTGTTCTGGTCAATTTCCCGATGAAGTGAACAAAATACGACAACTAAATTGTCTCTTGGACACATGACTATTAATTGCCAATGTCTCCTGTACGTGTGTGTGGAAACAGAAAAGTCGCATAAAATATATATGTTATCAAAATTAAATAATATAAAACACAATTTCATAACTTTATTTGTTTTCTTATTATTTCTGTATTGAGTAAAGAAGATTTCTGTATGAGTAAAAAAAGACGCCGATGATGATTAAAATTGTACAAGAATGTTCTTATTACCATTACTGAATACAGAGGACAGCATTATGCTTGGCCAGCTCCTTTTTCCAAAAGCATATCATATATCCTATCAATCTTGCTTGGAGAGAACTTGAACAGTGGATATGCATCAGATTTCTTGGTTATACTGCCCTTTGAAATTCCAGATTGCATGGTCTGCTTTATGCGGAGGAAGTGTGGCGGTAGCAATCTTATCTCATTACAAAGCTTTATCTCCTGCACGTTAACCAATGTCATAAAGAAATAGCAAACATAAAAAGGCAAATAAAGTGCTAAAAGAACAAGGGAGAAAATTTTCTCACAGATTCAGATAGTAATTCAGCCCCTTCAAAATCACTGATATCCCATTCTTCTAGAGTACTTGTAATGGCTTGTATGGCCGTCGGTGTATCCTTGGTATTGCGTGGGCTACTACCAAGCTCTACTTTGGGGAAATTTGGCCTCTGTAAAGTCTTACCACTTATTCCAATCTGACCACCTTGTTCAGCTTCTTTTGTCCTCTTTTGTTCAATAAATTGATAAGCATCAGCAGCCGTTACACAGCCAGAAACTCGAGCTTCCTGCAGATATATTTCAATGGAAATTCCATCAAATCAACACACTTTGATAGATGTGAGTCATGTGACTATGATTAGTATACTTTGATCAAGGCAAAAACTCCAAAAGCCGTTCCAACTATGTGTCTTATGCAGAAAGCATTTGTTGCTTTGAAACTCACCAACATACCTCCTTCCTAAACTAAGAAAAACTTGTATACTGGTGGCACATTAACCTCCTAAGCGCAATTTGCAGTTAATAAAACGAAAACTGGATCACACAGCCGACAGAACCCAAACCAGGCTGAGAGACCTCTATTTTGGGGAATCAAGCTATGTGTTGACTATGTGTTAGACCTCTTATTCGAAATGTGTATAAAGAGGAAACGGAAAAACTGATTATATCAATCAAGGGAAGATTACAGCTAGTTATGGGGTACTTAATTTATGGGACAGTGACAGCTAGTTATGGAACAAATGCCTCTGTTTCAAGTGCAGGCAGCATTATAGCCCCAGTCAAACATTATAAACTAGACGAAATAACTAAAAGATATGTGTATAAATCATATTGTCAGCAGTAAAGTAGTAGAATGTAATACCTGTAAGTCTTGTATTCTTTTGACAAGCCGGTGTTCTTCAATAATAGTTTTTAGCAACTCCTTGTGTTCTTCTTTTGAGTGAAACCGCATGAAGACTTTGTAATTTTGACATATTTTAAGCTCTTCAGTAGAAAGAGATTTCTCAAAAGGATCAGGACAAAGTAAATTCCTTTCGAGTATAAAATTTTTTCTGCGCTTGCGTTCATCTAACCTGCCAATATGTTTTCACACTTACATATCAGATATGGAAGAAAACATAATAGAAATTGAATAAAAATATATCCTAAAAGAAATAGTACACTGGATTTTGGAAATACAAGGATAAGCATGTTGTTTACAATTCTAAGACATGCTACAGAGACACGGATGTCATGTTAACTTAGAAAAAACAGGTAATCCGAGGGAAAAGCTAAAGAAACTAATTCACATGCAAACAATCTTGAAATTTACATAATTTCTTCCAGGACCATTTCTAGATGGTTAATTTTATTTCTTTTACTGGGAAGAATAATAAACTTTTTTGTTTGACAATAAAGTAAATTACCCATACCTTTTTGAGTAGATCCGCAGCACTTGCAGTTTTGTTTCATGCTCAACTTCAGTATCAGTATCTTTAAACTCCATTTCTGCCAAAATTTGCTCGGCATCATTGTCGTATTCAACATTGAATTCACCTCTCTTAGAATTGTATCCGCTCAACGCTTTCATAGACAGCCTATATTCTCCGGATAATTTAGGTTTCTTTTTGAGTCGTGAAGGTGAGTCGTTGACGGTGGGCGTCGCGGTGGGAAGCGGTGGGCGTCGGAGGAGAGACGATGAAATGGGTCGGTCGTTGACGGTGTTGGAGAGACGACGGTGGGTCGGAGGAGAGACGGTGTCGCGGTGGGCAGCGGTGGGCGTCGGAGGAGAGACGACGAAATGGGACGGTCGTTGACGGTGTTGGAGAGACGAAGGTGGGTCGGAGGAGAGACGGAGAAATGGCGCGGAGAAAATGGTAGTGGTGGGCGTCGCGGCGAAAATGAAGTCGCGGAGAAAATGGGTCGGAAAAATGGGTAGTAAAAATGGAGGAGACTGTACAGTGTTCAAGATATGAATTTTGTTTTTATTATCCTTTACATCGGTGGACTTTCCAACCGATACAAGCGTTAGGCTTTTACATCGGTGGAAAGTCCAACCGATACACCCTTCTTGACACGCGTTTGCTTTTACATCGGTGGAAACTGAACCCGATGTAATATCTTGACACGCGTTGGCTTTTTTTCATTTTTTAATATATTTTATATATTAAATCAAGCGAGTTTATTACATCGGTGGAAAGTCCAACCGATGTAATAGCTTGTGTTGACACGCGTAGCCTTTTTATCATTTTTTTAATATATTTTATATATTAAATCAAGCGAGTTTATTACATCGGTGGAAAGTCCAACCGATGTAATAGCTTGCTTATATTTTTTTAACGTTTTAGACACCTTGTTTCTTATTTACAAAAATGCCACCGTGTTTTTTTTTTGGAAATCTTTTACATTGGTGGATGAGATTGCCCGATGTAATAGGTGACGAAAAAAATTTTCCTTATTTTTTATATCATTGTAAATAAATACCTGATGTAAAAAGTTTATTAACTGTATTTTTTACATCACATATTTTGATACCCGATGTAAAAACTTTTTCTCAAATGTCTTTTTTTTAGTAGTGTACCTTTCGTGATCTGAAGGTGGAAGAGGATTGAACACTAGAGTGCCTAGAAATTTGCACTCGCATGAAGTAACACAGTTGGTTGATGCTAATCGGGAATGGGCTTACAGAGGCCATTTGGAGTAGATGATTGAGAGTCGTCGGAGATGGGCTTAAAGATGCCATCAGAAGTAGATGACTGAGATTCATAAATGGTCCCTTTATGGGTATTCCTGTTCTTGGAAGTGTGTGAGAAGGAACTTGGGTAGGGCTATTTTAGGAGATATATAAGAGGGAGACTGGGTAGGGAAGCTTCAGGATGAGTCTGGGTAAAATTGCATCTGTAAATTGTAAGAAGGAACCTGGGTAGGGATGCCTCAGGATGAGTCCGTGTAAAACTACATCTGGAAATTGTGAGAAGGAACCTAGGTAAGGTTGCCTAAGGATGAGTTTGTGTAAAACTGCTTCTAGAGATTGTGAGAAGGAACCTGGGTAGGGTTGCTTCAGGATGAGTCCGTGTAAAACAGCATCTAGAAATTGTGAGAAGGAACCTGGGTAGGGTTGCCTCAGGACGAGTCCGTGTAAAACTGCATCTGGAGATTGTGAGAAGGACCCTGGGTAGGGTTGCTTCAGGATTAGGCTGTGTAAAACTTCAGAAGGAGGGAGAAGGAACCCGTGTAAGATTGCTTCATAAAGAGCCCGTATAAAGCTATATTTGGAAGTCAGAAGAAACCCGTGTAATATTAATTCATGAAGAGCCCGTATAAAGCTATATTTGGAAGTTAGAAGAAACCTGTGTAAGATTGCTTCATGATGAGCCTGTGTAAAGTTATATTTGGAAGTCAGAAGAAACTCGTGTAAAGTTGTATTTGGAAGTCAGAAGAAACCCATGTAAGATTGCTTCATGTTGAGCCTGTGTAAAGATGTATTTGGAAGTCAGAAGAAACTCGTGTGAGATTGCTTCATGATGAGCCCGTGTAAAGCTGTATTTGGACGCACAGATGATTACTCTGTTTTGTTTCAGGAGATAATCCTGGACCTGTTGAAAATTATTGATGATAAATATTTGTTAATTTATCTTTCCTGAAAAGGTAAAGCGTTAGTTGTATGCAATGTCATGATGTATGAAATGCATTGTGTAATGGTGTTCTCAAAATAAATGAGATTGGGATGTATGCATTTGTACTACAATTGCTATGAGCTTTGTAGAATGATGTATGAATGCAATATGTGAATGTATCAGTTGTTCTATTACAACGTTGTTGAATTAGGGAAAATAAATCCCTGATTACAGTTGGCGATGAAGAATGTAGGTCTTTAGATTTTGTTGAAGTTGAACTGTTGGGAGATGGTCTTCCGTTGTTAGAGAAATGAACTCTGTTGGGGAAGGAAAGCTCTGTGCACTGCCTGAGGATTTTGTGAAATCCTATTAGGGAATCCTGAGAAGTTTGACGACTTTACTGGGGAAAACCTGATGTCGGAGCAGTAGTTGGAAATTCTTGTTCTACCGGGGATACAAGAACACCTGATATCACTAAGTTGTAAGCTGAGGATATAGAAAAGACTTTTTAGTAAGACGCCCCTGCCTATGTAACTGCTGGAGAAAGTACCTACAGAGACTTTGTGGATGGTTTGAGTGTCATCCCAACTCTCGGGGTGCTTGGTAAATGCTGATCAGGATGATAAGTCTTCTACTGATAAACAAATGACAAGATGACGGGACATATTCGTAAGTTTTTTATCCCTAACTTTTTCCTGGACCATCCTTTTGGGTTTTCAGTCCATCGGGATACTCTTTTTTGCTCAAGCTGCCTTTTCAGGCTTTCGACTTGCCCGGTGTACAATGTTTTTGTATATATCCCTAATTTTTTCCCGAACTCTTTTGGTTCACCGGGATGCCCTTAATTTTTCCTATGCCTGTCAACCTAGCAGGTCTTTTTCATGCGTAGTATTTTCTGACTATATCCACGCTCATAGGATGTGGAGAGTTGTCATCGTCTATGACAACAAGTGCTATAGAAATTCCATAAAATGTTTATATGGTCGCATGTGCCCTTTCATACGTGGGAGCCTGTGTGGGGCTGCTTCATGATGAATCTGGTGCACCTGATGTTTGATCAAGTTTCTGATAGTCTTGAATTTCCTAAGTATCTTTTCTAAGAATTGTCATGGAAGGATTCGAAGACATGATACTAACACCATCTGATACTACTGGCACAGGCAAGCAATTTGGTGGTACAAGATTCAAATTTCACAATGATTTTCTGCTGGAATCCCCGATCAATGTAACAACCCCCGAGTGATTCAGGTGGAGATTTGCTCCTGGCTATTCAACATTTTTGGAGAGATTCTTTGCATATTGGCTTTACTTCCCCAGATTAATTAGACACCATGTCATGCCCCTTGATTATGAAAGGCTTGTTATTGGGAATGTTTTTTCCATCTGAGGTGATCATGTCCATTGAGGGGGTCTTTGTTCATTGAATATTCGTTGTGTGTTTTTCTCTGCCATTTGAACAATTAACCATATGCAAACAATGTCATTTAAAGAATCCAAAGCTTATGTTTGTCTTTAAATTTTTTGTAGTAAAACAAAATTTGCAAGAATGTGATATCAACTCATGATTTATAGCAAACCTTACAGGAGTAAGGATACCTTTGTAACAGTATGCTCTCGAACTAGCCTATGCTTCAGCTAGGACTTTTAAGGGTTATAACGTGGCCTGGTTTACGGTTCAAGAAATAAAGGATAAAGGCTCAAATTTTATTTGTACCCAACCCGCTCTTCATGATATTCTTCAGTCCTATGCTCAGTTAATTGTGCATTTCGAATCCCAGTTGAGTTTTAGAATGTTGGCTCTGATATTCCGATAATGGTCCTGAAATTGAACGTTTGTTTAAGAGGGCAGTCATTTTTGTGACCTTTTATTTTTGTTGAGAATTTGTAGGACCTCTTTCTTTTTTTGATTTTGTTATCCTTGTCTTTTGCCTGAACTGTTTCTTTTGTGATTATAGCCAGCGGGATGCCCCTGTTTTTTTCTTAAGTCTCCTTCATAGGTTTTGACTTAATGGGCTTTTATTTTGAGAGATAATGACTGCCTGTTCTTAATGATTATGTGGAACCATCACCCTTTTTTGGAGAGCATCTTCTACATTATTTTTCGTGTATGAAAGGAAAGTTTGTGATTGAATGCACATCTAAATTAACTGGGAAAACTACCCTGCCCCAGGTTATGATTAAGGGTTTTAATTTGTGTGAAAAGAAAACTCCTACTTCTTAGGCTCAAATAGGTTGACTAGGGATTATCTTCCTTATAACTCCATTGTTTAGGATTTGAAACAACACTTGTACATCGTCAGAGGGGTATGTTCAAAAGCATACTATAGAGATTGTGGTATCATTCTCGTCATCCTCCCTATAAAGGCTTAGAGCTTTTAATCAAGAGTTGAATATCACAAAAGGGAAGTAAGAAAGCAGTTTAAGCATAATGAAAACAAATTAATTCAAGACAAACATGTGCAATGCATTAATGAAATAACAAAGTTTGACATGACAATAATTGTTTGAACAAACTAAGAAAATACAACTTGAGAATTCAAATGAACAAAATTGCTCTCAATTCTGGCCATCATTTGTCATGGGAGCAGTGATCACGTTGGGAGTCTCAGGAGGGTCGAACTCAATCTCCTTGGCGTAAATCATATTTTGAATCTTGTATTTAAGTGCCCAATAATCGTTAGTATCGTGCCCAAGACTGCCAGAGTGATAGGCACACCTTGCATCAGGATTGTAGTTAGAAGAAGAAGTCTTAGGGTTTAGATGAGGTCCTATCAACGTAATAAAATTCATCCTCGACATATGTTGTAATGCTTGACATAGAGGCATGTTGGTCTTGGTAAAATGTGTCTTAAACTCGTCTTGCCTTCGTTGATTACCCCATTGTTATGGTCGTTGCACGTGTGCCGAATTAGAGACCAGCACTGCCCCTATAGATTGGTGGTAGTCTGCCTTATTACGACCCTTCTGGCCATAC